GGCGCCGCCCCCTCAGAGCACCCTGCATGTATGTACACGTACCGCGGATGTGGTGACGCAGACAAGTACTCGTCTCTCGCCTGGGCAGGGAGGGCCTGAGGCAGCCCCCTCCCTTAAGTTTCCCACGGAGGTGGCTGCGAGAGGGTTCTGGGGCCACAAGATGCTGGGAGTCTGCGTGACACGGAGACAAAGGAGGCTGGATGGACCCCGGGCCTTCTTGGTGAATGCTGGCAGCTGTGGGTACCAGGAGGCATGGACACCCGCCTGGACAGATACCAGCAACTGATGGCCAGTGGGGCCATCGTTATAGAGGCCAGCGGAGCAAATGAGTGACCACGATCAGAAGCCGTCTCCTACTGGCACTAGCTGGAACCCTCGGGAGAAAGGGAAACTGAGGAAATCCTGAATTCTTTAAGAAAATGTTTCCGGGGGCACCTGGGTGGCTCGGTCGGTTGGGTGTCCGACCTCAGCTCAGGTCATGATCTCATGGTTGGTGGGTTCAAGCCCTGCATCGGGTGCTGTGCTGACAACTCAGAGCCTGGAGCCTCCTTCGGATTCTCTCTCTCTCTCTCTCTCTCTCTCTCTCTCTCTCTCCCTCTGCTCCTCCCCCACTAGTGCTGTCTTTCTCTTTAAAAAATAAATGAAGAAAAGGTGCCCACAGAATGCAACATAAAAAACAGAGACGGCAATTCAAGTCAGTCATGGAAAATAAAAAAACACCCCCACATCTGACTGCAAAGTTTCTATCTGCTACAGAAGCATCCCTCCCCCTCAGGAACCTCCCCCCCTCCCATCATTGCCCGAGAGAACAAAGGGTGGACAGATCTTCCTATGGTCTTTAAGGGGACCCGTGGAGATGTTTGTAGAACTTTGGAACCTTGCTCTCAAGCCTTGCTTTTTTTTTTTTTTTTTTAAGAGTTCATGTTTTATTATTATTACTTTAACGTTTATTTACTTTTGAGAGAGAGACAGTGCAAGGGGGGAAGGGGCAGAGAGAGAGGGAGACACAGAATCTGAAGCAGGTCCCAGGTTCCCGCTGTCAGCACAGATCCCAACGCGGGGCTCGAACTTAGGAACCATGAGATCATGCCCTGCGCCAAAGTCGGATGCTTAACTGACTGATCCACTCTGGCGCCCAAAGGCTTGCCTTTATTAAGCCCTGACTGAGTGCCACCAGGCTAAACACCGTTTTTGTTATTTCTGAGCCAGGTGGGAAATCGTTCCCATCCTGCAGGTGAGAAAACTGGGGCACAGAGGTATCGAATGAAAGAGCCAGGATGCCTTGGGCTGATTGTCCGCAGGACGGTTCGAGTCGTGGCAGCCGTAAAAGTGGGCTCCTCCGCGAACTTGGAAAACTGCTCTGGGGCTTTAAACCCGAAGGTGTTGCTGGGAGATGGGAGGCTTGGGAGGGACGAGGTAAATTAAAGCGCAGGTTCTGGGAGGGAACTCAGGCAGGAGCGGGGCGGCCCCTGGTGGACGTGACGAGAATGGCAGCTCGGTGGCGGAGACCGCGCCCAGGGCCCTGAATGGCAGTAGAGGTGGGGACAGGACCGGGAGGCGCTGAGACAGGTTGCTGTGTGTGTGGGGAGGGGGGGGGGGGGTGTCTGGACATCAGTGGGACCGGGGAGGGGTATTCTGGGAGGACAGGGAGGGGCGAGGAAATCCACCTTCACTGAGTGCTGACCATATGCTTAGATACATTGGGCACCTGCAAACCAGAACACCAAGGTCGTGACCTCAAGATCAAAGTTGAATTCTGCTCAGTTACATGGGACAAAACAGATGTCTTTATAATACTGGGGGGACAAGATAACAGAACATAAAAACATGTCCATCAAGAAAGTGAAAGCCACTGCATGGGACGGGAGAAAATATTTGCAAATCATATACCTGATAAGGGGCATTATTCATAATACATACAAAAATCTCTCATAACTCAACACTAAAAAGACAACCCGATTTAAAAATGGGCAAACGATTTGAATAGACATTTCTCCAAAGAAAACATGCAAGGGCCAAGAACAAGAAAAAACCCTAGGGAAATACCACTTCACACCCACTAGGATGGCTAAAATGAAAAAGACCGGTATTAACGGGTATGAGTGAGGATGTGGATAAATTGGAACCCTTTTACATTGTGAATAGCATTATCAAATGGTGCAGCCAACTTGGAGAAAGGTTTGGCAATGCTTCAAAACATTAAATATATAGTGATCTTGTGACTGGGTAATCCCGCTGCTATCTGTACACTCAAGATTTTTTTAAAAAAATTTTTTTCAATTAAAACAAAAAAGATGTCCACACAAAAACTTGTACAGGACTGTTCACAGCAGTATTATTCCTAATAGCCGACACCTAACAGGCACTGGAGGTGCAGTGATGGGCAGAGCTGCCTCCCATCATGGCCAAAGAGTGGAAACAACCCAAATGTCCATCCACTGATGAATAATACGTATCATATCCACCCAATGCAAAGTTATTCAGCAATAAAAAGGAACGAAGGGCCGATGCATTCTATAATATGGATGAACCCTGAAAATATTATGCTCAGTGAAAGAAGCTGGACAGGAAAGGCCACATTGCATGACTCCATTTAAAAGAAATGTCCCACACAGGCACGTCCATAGGGACAGAAAGTGGATTAGCGCTTGCCAGGGGCTGGGCAAGGGGTGATAAGGGGTGACTGCGAACGGTTGCTGGATTTCTTTTTGGGGTGAGGAAAACGGTCCAAAGTCAGATAGCGGTGGTAGTTGCACAAGCTTGGGGATATACTGAAAAACCCTGAATTGTACACTTTGAAGTGGGTCGATTTTCCAGTATACGAATTATATTTTAATAAAGCTGTTATTTAAAAACATATACAGGGGCGCCTGGGTGGCTCAGTCGGTAAAGCGTCCGACTTCGGCTCAGGTCATGATGGCGTGGTTCGTGAGTTCTGTGCTGACAGCTCGGAGCCTGGAGCCAGCCTGGGATTCTGTGTCTCCCTCTCTCTCTCTCTCTCTCTCTCTCTCTCTCTGTACCGCCCCTACTCACACTCTGTCTCTCTCTCTCAAAAATAAACATTAAAAAATGTTTTTAAACATATACAAAGCAAAAACTGTAGAAAACGCATGGAGGAGTAGACATGGAAGCGTCTCTCCGTCCTGAACAGATATTTGAAAAAGGAAGAAAATAATCATGCTTCTCAGAAGCCGTATGTTGCAAACATATATTGCAAACAATGAGTACATCTTTACAAGGGTCACCCATCCACTCCTTTTTTAAATAAGCTTATTTAATTATGTTTTAGTAATCTCTATACCCAACATGGGGCAGGATCTCACGACTCTGAGATCAAGAGTTGCCCGCTCTTCTGACTGAGCCAGCCAGTGCCCCTCATCCCCTCCTTTATTCAACAGATTTATATTGAGTACCAATCATGTGTGCAGTATCATTCAAAGCCCTGGGGACACAGCTGTGGGGGAAGGGGGGGGAGGAGGGAGGGTATCTGCCTTGGTGTCACTTCCGTTCTAGAGGCAACGTAATCTTTATAAACATTTCTGAAAATTCACTTAGGCAGTGAAGGAAATCTCAATAAACCCCAAAAGAATTAGTACAGACAAGCCCCATTTTTTATCACCACAACTGAACACATTAGGCATAAATAATCAAAGTAGAAATAAAATCCTCCAACCGCTTAGAAACTAACGCTTTCTCATAAACAACCTTCTGTTCAGAGAGAACATTAAGACCCCATTGCAGAGCACTCGAAAAACAAATTAATGTAGAAAACATACACATGCATGTCCCTGGGAGGCCGATTTCTTCAAGTAAAGTTGGAGCCAAAGTAGGGGGAGCTCCTCGTGATCACTGCTGTTATTTAACATTTTCCTGGAAGGAGTGATCAATACAATTCCACAAGAGAACAAAATAAGAAGTACCATTGCTCACAGACAGTGTCAGATTGCCAATGATCGGAGAGATGAATTCCCATTGCCATGGAGCCCGGAGTGATAGGGACACTGTCATCATGCCTTGTCGGTGGGGACACAGATTGATGCGAGGGCGCCCCAGCTTCGGCTCAACACTCCCACTTCTGGAAAGTTTCCTGTAGAGACACACAAGCATTTAGGTGGGCCCTTTGCAAGGGCCTGAAAACAACTCGGCATCGTTGACTAACAGCCACACAGGGAGCCAGGAAGAGAAGCAGGTCTATAAATCTATTGTTCTCCAGTGGGGGGCGATCTTGCGCCCCAGGGGACATTTGATAACACCTGGAAACCCGTATTATTTTCGTTCAGTGGAGGACGTGGTCATGGCAGCTTGGTGGCTGGAGGCCAGGGATGCTGGGCGGGGCGCCGGACTGCCCCCAACGAGTCCTGATTCAACCCCGAATACCAATAGTGTCACACTTGAGAAACCCTGGTATAAAGTCCCCACAAGGAATAGTTCAACTTTTTCAAAAGTTCAGAATCGCATTTCTACCATGACCCCGTATTTTTTCTAACTATGTTTACGCTGGTACACACACAGAGAAAATACTGGAAAATGCACCCCAAACCGCTCTGTCGTTCAGCAAACATTGGGCACCCCAGGGTCCCGGGCACCACTCCGTCCTATGGGCTTGGCACACATCAGGGGCCCTGCCTTCGTGGGAACCCTGGGGATTCTGGGGAGGCGCCCAGGAGATCGGAATTTTCTACTTTCCAGGCTTTTGAGGTTTTGACTTTTTTTTTTAACCAAGAACTTTATATTACTTTGTAAATTAAGAAAACAGCAAATACCATAGCAGCCAACAAGCACACAGATGCCGAGGAAAGTCAGGCAGGGGGAGTCGCAGGGTTCAAGCAGCAGGGGGGCTGGGCAGGTGCAGGGACTCTCCCCACCCCATGCTCTTCCTCCTGGGGTGACCGAGACACCCACAGTCCAGGAGAAACGAAGGCGGGACAACGCCACAGGGAGAAGCCCGCAGGTGGCCTCGCGCACCTTTACCCACTTCGGCATCGTCCTGTGGCGGCACCATGATAGACGACACCGCCGCCCCAGTGAGTTACACTCTCAGACCGGCCCTCGTCCCCTTTGTCCTAAATTCAAGCCTTCTTATCCTTCAACAGCTACTCTTCCACCCACCCTCGTGGTTCAAGCGCTATTCGAGGTGGTTAACAGCCCGCATGTGTGTCTGCGGCACCTTTCTCTAGGGAACCTTCTTGCAGATTCCAAGACCAAAGAAAACACAGGTATGGCCACAGTCGTGTCCCTTCACCCCAAGGAGACAGAACTAAACCGCCGAGGGAAGGTGAAATGGGTCTTTGGACACAAATGGAGGCCTCTGCGCTCTCCTGCCCCCTAGTGGGCACCCAAGGCCTCCCTCTGAACTGGCTTCAGGCCACCAGGATTCCATCCAGAAACGACAGAACAGTTATGGAAGGTGTTTTTGCATATTCTATTCTTGAGTTGTCCCTACAAGTAGAACAGATGGAAGCATTATTGACGCCCACTCTATAGATAAAGAAACTGAGGCTTAGAGAGAATTTAATCTTCTATGGGCCCCCGCTCATCAGTTAACAGAGGACTCCTCGTTACTGCCCAAGTCCTTTTAATAAAGCCAAAATGAATTTTTAGCTGGATGTCCAATCCTAGAAACCAGCATGGATTTTTCCTCATTGACTTGAAAAATACTTATGAGGGCCTCCTAAGGGCCGAGTACTACTTAGCAGGTCCGGGGTGTCATCTCCCAGGATAAGGCGTGTCGTCCCAGAAGTAAGTGACCGAGATGCCCAGGCCTGCGCCCTGTGTTGGGAAGCACAGAAGGTGAGATTGGTTTCAGCTTCTCGCTTCATTGCAGCCTCAGGTGTGTTCAGGTCCAGTGGTAGCCGGCGTGTACCAGGAGCTCTCCACTGTCTTCACACCACATGGCAGCGGTGGGGGGAGTGGGGGGAGGCTCCAAGAGGCTGCCTTCTAGACCATTTATCTTAATACTTTCCTCAAAGCCATTATAAGTCTTTTTTTCTCAAAGTAATATACACAAATAATTTTAAAAATCATCATAATAAAACAGCTTGCATAAGGTGCCTGGGTGGCTCAGTTTGGTTAAGCTTCCGACTTCAGCTCAGGTCACCATCTCACAGTTCATGGGTTCAAAGCCCTCATTGGACTCTGTGCTGACAGCTCGGAGACTGGCACCTGCTTCGGGTTCTGTGTCTCCCTCTCTCTCTGCCCCTCCCCTGCTCACGCTCTCTCTTTCAAAAATAAATAAACACTAAAATTTCTTTTTATGAAAAAAGAAACCTGCCCTTGGCTCTGGACAGAGACACTATCTCTAACTTCTGGGATTGTTCACTCCAGAAATATCCTTGAAAAACTCCAGACAAAGACAGTCAATGCCTGTGGTGTACTAACTTCAGGCAAGAGACGCGTGAAGAATTCTCTCTCAACAATGAAAAAGGCCCACCTAATGATTAAGCGAAAACAATAGAAGAATGCAAATGTGGCAGTGTATAAAGTTCCCACGCTCTGGGCCATTCTCCACCTGTCCTAACCAAGCCAGGGCTGGATCCCGGACAATTGGGCTGCCTCTACTCCCCAGAGCCCAGTGAAATGTTCATTCAGACCAGCCAGTCCTAAACCTGCTTAGCCATTCTTCCCAATGAAATAAAGGCTCTTGCCTACACTTCTGCCTCACGGCCTCTGCCTCTTGACCAACCTGGTGCTTCTCCGTGCCTCCACGTGGCACGCCATGTCTCCTTCCTCTCGGGAACTGTGAGTAACACTATCTGCCTGGAGTCGGGGGTCTCCTGACCCCTTGGCCTCATCATACCTCAACAATAGTCAAACCTACATTCCAACATTGCATCTCTTACTATCTGATAGGCAAAAGCTTGACAACCCACCCTGTTCGCGAGGCCACGGGAAACCAAGTGCTCTTACCTGTGGCTGGAGGGAATGCGAAATGGTTAAGCATTAATGGAGAGAAACTGGGTCATGTCTGACAGCACTACATATGCATTTACTTTGTGACCCTAAGCCAATTCTACTTCTAGGAATCTACCCAGAATATAAACCTTCCACAATAAAAAATACATAGGCAGATTACTAGTTATGGCATTGTTTGTAATTACAAAATATTGGAAAGATGCTGAATACCTGTACGTAGGCAATTTGTTGAATCGACTACAGAATACGCATACAGGTAGTGGTGTGATCTCTATGAAGCGATATAAAATGATTTCCAGGGACGCCTGGCTGGCTCAGTCAGTAGAGCATGAGACTCTTGATCTCAGAGTTGTAAGTTCGAGACTCATGTTGGGTGTAGAGATTACTTGAGAATAAAATCTTTAAAAAGAAATTAAATACATACATACATACATAGAATAAATTCCAGATGGGTTGTTTAGTGAATAAAGAGCAAAGTAGAAAAGTATATAATACTTTTTCTGTAAGAAAAGAATAATAAGAAAATAAACATTCATCTGGTTGGTTCTGCAAAAAGGAATCTAGAAACAATGGTTCAGAAACTACAGAGATGAGGAGCACCTGGGTGGCTTAGTCAGTTGAGCATCAGATTCTTGATTTCAGCTCAGGTCATGATCTCACAGCTTGTGGGATCGAGCTCCACGTCAGGCTCTGTGTTGACAGCGTGGAGCCTGCTTGAAATGCTCTCTCTCTCTCTCTCTCTCTCTCTCTCTGTTCTTTGCCCCTCCCCCCTTGACATGCATGCTTTCTCTCTAAAGAAATAAACTTCAAAAAAAAAAAAAAAACTACGATTAGTTTCCTACAAGAAATAGATAAGAACAAAATGGAAGGGGCAGAAGTGTTCAATGACACTTCTCTAAATATAAATTTTTGTATAGTTTTGACTTTTATATACTTAAAATATCAACAAGGTTTGGGAAGAACTCTAAAACACAATCACAAACAATGAACCTGTGTTTCAAACGAGCAGCACTGGAACTATTTTCTGTGTATCATAGGATTAGTAGATGAGTGACTATATTAAAGGGGTTAGGAGACGGGGTGCCTGGGTGGCTTAGTCGGTTAAGCGTCCGACTTTTCGCTTAGGTCATGATCTCACGGTTCGTGGGTTCGAGCCCCGCGTCGGGCTCTGTGCTGACTGCCAGCTCAGAGCCTGGAGCCTGTTTCAGAGTCTGTGTCTCCCTCTCTCTCTGACCCTCCCCTACTTACGCTGTCTCTCTCTCCTAGAAATAAATAAAACATTAAAAAAAAATTAAAAAAAAAAAAGGGGGTTAGGAGCCAGACTTCTCACTGTCGAGGGAGAGAGTTGAAATATGGGACTGAAGAAAGCTAGGGAGAGCCCAATGTTGGCGGATGGAGTTGGAAGTCTCAGTAATGAACTTGTGGTCTTCCATGCATAAACACAGACATAGATACAGGACTCTGTGCATATGTGTGTATGTGCAAGTGCGTGTGTGTGATTCCAGTTCTGTCCACTGAACAGAATAATGGAATTCAAGAATCACCATTTTTTAAATAAAATATCTTCATTTATTTCTAAGAGAGAGAGAGTGAGCAGGGGAGGGTCAGAGAGAGAGGGAGATACAGACTCTGAAACAGGCTCCAGGCTCTGAGCTGGCAGTCAGCACAGAGCCCGACGTGGGGCTCGAACCCACGAACCGCGAGATCATGACCTAAGCGAAAGTCGGACGCTTAACCGACTAAGCCACCCAGGCACCCCAAGAATCACCATTTTGCAATCATTACGAATCACAATTGCTTCAAGCAAAGTCTAGAGTGAATTCAGAGAAAGACCCACACCAAGCATTTTGCCTTCTTCCTAGCTAACGGCCATGATTTTGAGCAACATTAGACTGTTTAAACTAGAGCATGTAATAATAATTTGATTGAAAAAAAGTTAAAAAACAAATTAAAGGGGATAAAAAAGAGAGAGCTCTCAAAATGAGAAGAAAACGTATTGTCGAGTGAACGTGTGAATGGGGAGCGCATGAATGAATGGACAGGGCAGTGAGTGGAAATGGATGGAGGCTCCGCCTCCGCCCGAGCCTTTTCATCTCCAGCCCCTCCGCCCCCTAGGCCCCGCCCACAGGCGAGGAGGCGCAGGGTGGCTCTTTTTAAGGCTGACCACACCCTGGCGGCCAGACTGGCCAAAGTGCATTCTCTTCCCCCTTCTCAGGCTGCTTCCTTCTCTGCTGGAGCCCCACTTTCCTCCATTCCTGGCAGAAAGGGCGCCACCGCATGCCAGGGAGCCAGCGCCAGGATGGCGACCAGGTGGCCCAGAGCTAGCCCCAGGCCTGTGCCCGGCAGCCCAGGCGACTTATCCGTGAGCACTTGCCTGCCTTGGGTCTCTGTTCCCTCATCTGCCTCTTAGGCAATTTGGCCAAATCAGTGGTTCTCAACTGGGGCCACCCATTAAAATCAGCTGGGGACCTCTTAAATATTCCAGGGCCCAGACAGGACCCCAGACCAACGATGCTGGCCTCTTCAGAGGGGTGCACCCAGGCTTCCTGGGTGATCCCAGCCAGTGCACAGTATGAGAGCCTGTGAGCTACGGTGTCCTCCTGCTGCCCTGTCCATTTGTCCTGTCTTCTGTCCCTGGAGAGTTAAATGAGTTAAATGAAACGTGAGAGTCATGCCCGGACCTGTGGGCCCCCTCAACACCCCTCTGGGGCAGCAGCCCTTTCTGGAACTTTGCCCAGCCCCACCCACCCTTCATCCAACCTTCTGCTCCAGCCCTTGCCTCCTCCATTTTTAAAGTTTGAAATCAAGGGATCTGGGATCACCGCCAACGGCGGAGTCTCCCAGGTATGGGCTGGGGTCTTCCTGCTTACCTGTCACTCATTCACAGGGTGGGAGGAGATAGGGGAGAGAGAACTGGGGAGGACGAGGAGCCTGTTCAACCCAACTTGTCATATCCCTGATGCCATAACTGCTACCCTTTTCCAGGGAGAGCTAACGCTGCCTGGGTCCAGCTGGGTGCTGGTGGCCGAGCCTTCCAGGGGCGCATTCCCTTGGGTGACCACTATTAACCTGCGGGTGTTACCTGATGGACATAGCCTGAGGGAGGAGGGAGCCTTGAGCTTCACGCAGTCTTACTTTGTCTATAAAAACGTCAACCCCCTCCCCCACCTCGCCAGACCAGTGGCAGAACACGCTCCTTGCACTGCAGATGGACGCACTGAGGCTTTTGGGGGTGCCTATGTTGTTGGGGGCTCGGGCATACATGCCAGAGGGGACACGGATCTGAGGAATCACGGCCGAACCCCAAGGGGAGATGAAGGAGAAGCTGGCAGGTGAGTCTGGAAGGCTTGTTTCCCATGTGGTCTTCATGGGTCTGGGAGGGGCCTGTGGCCCCTGAGGCGCTGGCTCTGCCGCTGGTGAGGTCAGGAGCAGAGCAAGCCGAGCACGGGTCCCTTTGGAGGAGGCAAGCATCGATAGCTGTGATGAAGGAGAACAGCAGCCAGTAATTCGTTACTGGCCGTCACTTCTTCTTTGGTCCTTGCAACTTTTCGACGCAGAGGCTATTCATCCCATTTTGCAGATCAGAAAATTAAAGCTCAGAGAGGTGAAGTAACTCGTCTAATGAGTCACCGCTGCTGCGTCAGAGGAAAACTTCAGACCCAAATCTGCGTGACTTCACAGGGGATGCTTTCTGACCTCCGGTCCAGGGTATCTTAATCTGACAGACTCACCAGCGCTGGAGGGCTTCCCGAGAGAGGGGCTCACTCTGTGGCTCAGAGTGCAGGGCAAAGTCTGCAAATCCCCATGTCCTGGCGGGGAGGCTGGGAGGCACTGGGCCATGTGGAGAGAATGCTTTCAGAGTCCAAAGCAAGGCTGGCTTCTTGGGTCTGTGACCACAGCAGCTGCGGGGGACCTCCACACTTGGGATTAAGTGCTCTGTGGTCACTGGCTGGACATCTCTTGGAGTCTGTTTTCTAAGTGAAGTCAGCGGAGACAATGGAACAGGTGCTGGCGGGTTGGGGAGCTGGGAGCTTGGCTCCCGGGTGCGAGGTCCCACTCCTCCCCAGCCCCCAGCGCATAACCTCCACCAGACTCCTGGTTCCATTGTCACGTTCGGTCTCTGGAAGGGACTCCAGCAAGAGTCGGAGTTGAGGCAGGCGAGGCAGGGGCATGTCCTGAGGGCCACAGGCAGGTGAGAGATGGGAACCTCTCACCCACCCCCATCCAGGTGCAGATACGTGCAGGCAGGGAGGCTGCAAGTGCTTGGGGGCCGCCCATCTGCCGTGGGTCGGGGGGCTGGGGGTGGGGGTGACGCTTTGCGTATCTTCCTTCTGCTCTGGGCTCTGCCGATGGGGCTGGCCCTGCTCACATCCAGGTCCTGCCATTTACTCACGGAGCAAGCTCAAGCAAGTGACTTCACCCTTCAGCATCAAATGTCTTGCCTGGAAATGGGAATAATGTCAACACCCCCAAAGGATTTTTTTGAGGACAGGGAGTCTTCCCCACCCCCCAAAATGCAAATCTGATTATGACGACCTTGGACTGAGAACTATCTAATGGCTTGGTGTTGTTCTAGAATGAAAAACAAAACCTTTCACTTAGACCAGTGCTGTCCAATAAAAGTATGATGTAAGCCACACATATAATTAAAAATTTCCTAGCACCCATTTTAAAAAGACAGGGAAAATTAATTTTAATATATTTACTTCACTCGACATGCCAAAATTATCCTTTCAACGTAGAACCAATACTAAAAAGTAAATATTTTACTTCTCCTGTCTTTGAAATTATATATTATATACATATGTTTAATGTTTATGTATTTATTTTTGAGAGAGAAAGAGAGAATGAGCAGGGAGGGGCAGAGAGAGGACACAGAGAATCCCAAGAAGGCTCCACAGCTGTCCGTGCAGAGCCCGATGCAGGGCTTGAACTCACAAACTGTGAGATCATGACCTGAGCCGAGTCAGACGCTCAACCGACTGAGCCACCCAGGTGCCCCTATTTTATGTATTTTTATGAAATGAGTGTATCTCATTTCACAGGACTTAGCGGCTACCGAGTTGGATGGTCTGGGCTGCACGTCCACAGTCGCCCAATCTGGCCGCTGGCTGCCCCACCTCACACTGCCCTCCGCCTGGCAGCCCTGCTGGATTGCCTGTCTGGCCTCAAAAGCACCCCTCCATCCACATACAGGTTCCTTCTGCTGTTTCCAACCCTGGAAAGCCCTTCTTCCTCTTTTCCCTTTGGACCTAGTTAAGCTTACTCCTCCTTCAGATGTCAGCGCAAATGCCCTGCCTTCAGGGAGACCTCCCTTGACCCTTGGCCATCCTTCAATGCTGTGTACCTGACCCTCACAACTGAAATTTCACATTGACTTGAGGCCGCTTGATCAAGGTCTTTCTCTCCTGCTAGTTTGTAAACTCCAGGGCGGAGACCACTCCGGTTCCGCAGTGAGGGTTTTAATCACTTCCCCAGGGCGAAGCACCGTGCTTGGTGCGGGTAGGGACAGATACCGTTAGAATGGAGACGGCCTGGCGCCTGGAAAGTACCCTTCCCTCCTTTCTCTTCCCCTCTGGTTGAGAAAACGCCTGAGAAAGGGACTCTCTAACTGTAGAGCTCTGGTAGAGAATTGGGGACACGAAGCACTCAGTGCCGAAAATATTTAAGTTGGGGACTTGGGTTGAGCACATAGATTACATTTCTTCCCCAGATTACATACCACTTAAAAATAGCATCTCGGCTCCTTTTCGTGATTTGGGCCGTGATTAAGGAAAATTACTCTTCAAGTCTGAACATAATTACTGCCCTTCTCATGACTTGGCTTCTCCCTTGAGGAGGAGGAGGCAGAACTGCGGAGCAGGAAGTGGAGAGAGGGCATCACTGTCCCTGTTTCACTGGCACACCTGGCAGAAGGCCACACGCGGAGGTGCTGCTGGGCAGTGCTTCCTTTTCCTAATTCTTTCCCAGGTGAATAGAAACAAGGCTCCGGTCCACAGCTGCCAACTGACCCAGGTGAGGCCAAACCCGAGGACACCTGTCTGGGTGAGGGCTCAGCCCCTAAACCATGTTGTAATGCCAAACTCCATTTGGGTTCTTCCACCTTTGGTCAATCTACTCATTCTTAAGGACGGTTAAGTTTGGAGACTCGACACCACTGTCCCCCCCAAAAAGATGGTGGTAGAACTCAGGGCCCGTCACCCTGAAGTCCTGGGGAAGGGGGTACAGTAGGAGCCACACAAAATGATTTGCACCGCTGCACAACGGCTTCTGAACCCCAGGGCTAAACATTTCCTTCAAGCTTTCCAAATAACCAACAAGTTCAAACACCTACCATGGATTGCTCAAGGGTGACACATTTAAATATTCACTGCATATTTTAAATCGTAACCCGGCTTCAAACTGCAAGCTTCTTGGGTAGTAAAATGGGGCATACACCCCAGGGCCTGCCCAGCACCCCAAAAAAAGCCTCAGATAATTTGCAGCTTATATATACCAATAAAAGCTCCATGTCTCCTTATTTTCTTGGCATTACCTATGCTGTAATAACCTGACAACTGAAAGCTTTAAATTAGGTATTTTGTTTCTTTTACAAATGAATTTGGGGGTGGTCTAGAGCTGGTGCTTCAAGTCAGAATTCAGAGCCCCAAGGAAAATGACTTCACTGAAGTAGAACTGAACAGAGGAGAGCGGAGTTCTTAAAATCTACTAGAAGTGAGTTGCTGTGAACTGGGTAGATTAAGCCAGAGCAAGTGAAGATCAGAAAGGTACCAAACACACTGCTCGGAAAGGTAGGGTTTCCAAGTTTCTAAACGCAGGCTGGGCTCTAAGTGGGCAAAATCAACGTTCTGTGAATCTCATCATTTCCCTTTTGCATTTCTAATGTGAAAATAAAATTTAAGATCCTGAAAATTCTGGCTCCAGGAGAGCCAAACATGGCAACTAGGTCATTCTCAATCTGGGGCTTCTACAGATTTGCAACCCTAAATTCATAAATCCTTTATAATGGCCTGATTGATAACTAATGCCCAAATTTAAGACTCTGTTCAATGCATATGGCCCCTTCCGCCTCTCCAAACCTGGCTGGCTAACAGTAGGTGGCATGGTCCCTGGGAAGGAAAATACTAACCCACCCTTATTTGCTTAGCAAGTTAGCCTTTGTAATCTCACGAAACAGAACAGTTTTGCATTTTTACAGATTTATCAGATTCAAAATACAGATCTCAAGTTTTTATTTCAGAAGAAAAATCTCATTTCCCTGGGCATTATTGTTTCTTCTGAGCTTTAAAAATAACTTTAACAATTCTCATTGGTGTCTCGGCTAACAGTATACTCTTTGTAAAAGAATTAGCAGGATGATCATATTTTCTAGACTTTTTTTTTTAATGCCCTGGCCTAAAGTTTTCTCTTCAGCAGTATCAATTTGAGACTATAGTCCGCTCAGGAACCTACAACAGAGACCAAAGAAAAGAAAGAAACTTCTCAACTGCTTAGTTTACCATGAATAGACAGAGTAATCAATCAGAAATAGCCTGAGTTTAGAAACCAAGATGCTGGCCACGAAGAATTTTTCCTCTTAATAATTTCACATGCTATTTATAAACCACTATAAAAATCTCTTTTGCATATTAAGGGCAAAGACATTCTAAGACTATGGGACTTTCAGGAAATAAAGCTCAATTTTAATGAAAATGGAAGTTCCAAATTGGTAGAAGACACACATCCCTGACAGAAGCCTGCTTACAACAGCCACGCTGCAAACCTGACCTATTAGAAAATCCCAGAAACGAACACAGTCTGGGTGCATGTACTGGCTTGCTAACTTCGTGTACTTTGGAAAGTCGTTCCCTTGTCTCGAACTTCCCTGGGCCGGGATAAAATTTCAAAGTGCTTTGACAAATAGAGCCATTTAAAAATTGTGCAGTAGGATACTTGCTTTATAAAGAGAAGTTTAGCTTGTAGAGTTGTACGTCAATCTTGATCAGGCATAGGTATGTATTACTAAGGTTCGGTCAGGACAAATGGCCAGGGTGTGTTCATGTGAACTACAAAAGGGTGGGGGGGCGGGGGAGAGGGTAAGCTCATAAAGCTGGAAAAGCGACCCCCTTGGCACACTGGTTCGACCAGTGCTCCATGTTTTTAAAATCTGATCTTTAAATAATCTCTACACCCAACACGGGGCTTGAACTCATAACCCCGAGATCGAGTTGCAAGCTCCAGATTATGCCCATCAGGCACCACCGCCACCCTTGGCGCTCCATTTTTAAAAGCATGTCGTATCATCATTTCCTATTTACATTTTTAAACTTGCCTATAAAATGGCATGACTTACAGGACTTGAGTAACTAAAACTTTTTTAACATAAAACTTGTAGAACGGCCAAGGCACAGCCCACATCACTGAACTCTTATTAAACAGATGGTAAGAACAAAGTTGGCACCCTTACCAACAACTAGCTCCAGATAGGCTGTCATTCCATCCCACACTGAGCTCCTCCTACCACACTATCTGGAATCCTTCTGGGTCAACCCTCCCAAACTTCTAGTTAAGAACTGCTAGCACTTTGGAAGCACTGGGGTGCCATTTGACCTCATTTACCCACAGAACACACACAGCACGTGGCCACTTCTTTTTCTCAGCCATTACTCCTGGACTATAAAGTCACCCCATATCCTCATGGAACTGAGCTATAAAATACTGGAGCTCCTTCTGGGCAAGCATGTCTTGTCTTCCCCAGCACAGAAAATTGGCCACTGTGGGAGGTCTCATCTCCCCCAAATTCTCAATACTTCAGCTTTGATGAAAGGCGGGGGACACGCCAACACTATACAAACACCCAACTGTCCAGAGAGCACTGTTTTATTAAAGTGTGAGAACAGATGTAACATTCTATTCATAGAAATGAGTGGAGTGCCCAAGGCCTGAATCTGCAATTGGCTTAGTACCCATGACCACTTCGGTGGGAGCACCTCAGCTGGGAGGAAGTCACAGGTCTTTATTATTTTTTTTAATGTTTTATTTATTTCTAGGAGAGAGACAGCGTGAGCAGGGGAGGGTCAGAGAGAGAGGGAGTCACAGACTGAAACAGGCTCCAGGCTCTGAGCTGGCAGTCAGCACAGAGCCCGACGCGGGGCCTGAACCCACGAACCACGAGATCATGACCCAAGCTAAAGTCGGACGCTTAACCGACTAAGCCACCCAGGCGCCCCGTCACAGGTCTTTAAAAGACCACACAGCCCCTAACGTGAGCCATTTCCATGTAGTGCTGTCAGTGCCACAGGATTCTGGAGGATGACAAGGGGTCAATCCCCAACTGCCACTTCCCTAAGGTATTGCCCATTTGTTTTGAATAATAAGGAAAATTTGTGGGGCGCTTGGGTGGCTTGGTCAGTTCAGGGTCTTTTGATTTCAGCTCAGGTCAATGAGCTCACGGTTTGTAATGAGCTCACGGTTTGTGAGATCGAGCCCCTGGTCAGACCCCACAATGACAGTGCAGAGCCTGCTTGGGATTCTCCCTCCCTCCCTCCCACTCTCTGCCCCTTCCCAGCTTGCAAGTGCACACACACTCTCTCACAAAATAAACTTCTAAAAAAATAAGGAAAATTTGGATAGGAACTCGGGATTAGGCTGTTAATGGTCCCAAATCACCCTTCGTGGGAAAGTGAAGATTTTCTGTTGTTTTTAGGTGAAATGTGGTAGAATGTGGTTAAAAAAAAAAAAAAAGAAGCCAGTTGGGAGGAAAGCTTACACTATGCTAATGGCAGAACCTAGTGTTGCCTCATAGTTTCAGTAACTCAACGAGGGCAGCAACTGAATTGTCACCAGGATGAGCAAATTCAATATACATTCCAATAAGCTTTAGTTCCTACCCCAAGAAATTAGAGACTTACTTCCTGTAACACATGTGAATAGTCTTAAGGATGAAGATTAAGAGGGGCACCTGAGTGGCTCAGTTGGTTAAGCATCCGACTTCGGCTCAGGTCATGATCTCACTGTTCGTGGGTTCGAGTCCCGCATCGGGCTCTGTGCTGACCATCAGCTCAAGAGCCTGGAGCCTGCTTCAGATTCTGTGTCTCCCTCTCTCCCTTACCCTCCCTGCTCATACTCTCTCAGAAATAAATAAAACATTAAAAATTAAAAAAAAAAAAAAAAAAGATGAAGATTAAGAGTGAACATCTTGGAGCTTCAAGAGTTAACTTCCATTATAATTTATCCTTCATGCAGAGATTGCAAAAACGAACTTCTGAGGAAAATATAATTCCGCTGACCTTTACGCCAACTTAATGTCATTTTAAGATTTTGTAGTTGTTGAAGTGAATCAGGAACTAGGATACTATCTTAAAAAGTTCCAGAACACATCTGGGTTAAAACAAAGACGGAACGATCTAGAATTCTTAGTCGTTCACAACCCACGTTCACTTACAATGAGGGGACTGCTAACTCCAAGCAGCACCTCCCTTCGACCCCTCAGCGCAGAAATCTTTCCTGCACAGCTCACAGGACTGACCGACCCCACCCAGAGAAGGTGGTGCTATTTCGCTCACTGACCTTCCCACGGCATCAGAACAGCACCTGGCGCGCTAGGCCTCAGGGATGCACACAAGGAACTCAGGGCTAAGGCTTAAATTCCCACTAGGGGACGGGGGGGGGCGGGGGGGGGGAGTCCACTGCTGATACGGGTGAATTTTATGCACGTACGGGTCCATTTCTACTTTCAACAACTTCCCTTTTGAAGGGCAAACACCCAACATTTTATGGTACTCCTACCAAGAGTAGAACAAGGCCAAAATGGAGCAGCCCCACCAGTGCGACACTCCTGCTTGAACCGGGGAAGGATGTGCTGACCACGAGCCAGGAGTATGGCTCTTCTCACCCAGCAGTTCCCTTCCAGGAAGGGCGTGAATTTGTAAGAAGCGCACAGGTACGAAAGGAGCGGCTCCCTGGCTGACACCCGAATGAAAATCATGTAGAGATAAAAACAAGTGATCGCAGAGAAAACATACACTTGGGCTCTGCTGCTAGCTTTTAAAGGACTACAATTCAGACCCTAAATTTGGCACTCTCAGGAAACCATACCTTTTACATGTGCCAGTTGTTAAAGGAGGGTGAACTTGATTACATACGGTGCTTTTATTATCTGTTTTATTAGCTGCTACCTACACCAAGACCCTTTCCCACGCTTCCTTTAAATTTAAATTTTATTAAGAAATGGCATACATACAAAAGCACAGAAACATACACTTTAAAAAAGAAACCACCCACCCAGCTCTCGCAACAGAGCGCAGTCAGCAGTTCCTCTGAAGGCTGCTCCGTGCCCTCCGCCGCCACAGGTTAACGGTGAATTTCACGTTAATCATTTCCTTGCTTTTCTTTCATTTACCATAGGTTTAACTTAACTGCTCGGTTTTGACCTTCACAGAAATGGAACCATGGCGCATGTATATTCTTCTGTAACTTGCTTTTCCGACCACCGAGATTCATCTGTGTTCACACGTGTAGCTGTAGTTCAAGGAGGATTTCTGTGTGATCCCACGGAATTGGTAGGAAGATGCCATGGTATTTATCCAGTGGATGGAAGGACACTTGGGGTCTTCCCAGTTTATTTTGGTTTTCCTTCTCTTCCTGTTACAAACAATGCTGTTATGACATTTTCACATTCATGTCCTGACACATGTGTAAGAGTTTCTCTAGGGTATGTATCTAGGAGTGGAATAGCCACAAGAGAAGTTAGGCCACGGACCCTTATGCCAAACTATTTCCTAAAGCTGTTTTTCCGAAACATTCTTATATCTGTCGACGACTGAGCTACTTGGAAGGGCTGAGGGGAAGAAATAGATCAAGGACTCTCAAACTGCATTTTTAAAGTAGGAAATTAAAAAGTCTGATACAACAATGAAAAGCACATTTACGTCTCTGCTTTGGTTTACTTGAAATATACTCTGAAAAACAACATGTTTAAAACTTAAGGGTGGTGGTCTAGCTCTCAAATGTTTCTAAATATAAGAGTGAAAACAGCAAGATTCAAAACATATTGGTGTACTATCATATATAAAAAAGGTCTATACATATATGCTTACAACTCCCACCTCCCTCCAGCAAAAGTAACTGTTAACAGTGCTCCTGAAAAGGAAGACCAGAAGGACAGGAGGGGGTGGGGAAGAGATCACTTAACACTTCTACTGTTGTTTTCTGAACCACGAACAAGCATTACAATTGTAATACAAAATTTTTAAAAAGTAGTCCCCTGGGGTTCTTTCATAAACTAAAAAAAAAATCAATCTGAACTGAAACTTGAAAATCAGCCCTGAACGAAGTTGCATCCTACAGAAAATACAGACAATTCTCAAGTGTTTTCCTTTTGTTTCATGCACTTTAGAATAATGTTTAAAAATATTCACACAGCCAACCTAAAATGCATTTTTTAGAAGCACGGAATGGACACTCATAAAACTCCCACCCTAAATTGTTCCGCTGAAACATCTCTCTAGAAACTTTAATCAGAAGGTGGCCGACATCCTGTACGTAAGAGTTGGCCTCTGAGACACTTAACTATATACTGGGGAAAGCAGACAGACTGCCTGCAGGTGTGATGGTGTAAAGAGAGGAGATAAATATCTAAGCCGAAATAGGACTGTTTATTACAACCTCAAGAAGGCAAGAAATGGGTTTTAATCCAAAATGAAAAATACAGCTGACCCTTGAACAACACGCATTTGAACTGCATGGGTCCACTTATAAGGGTTTTTTTACAGCACAGTACTGTAAATGTATTCTCTTATGATTTTCTCAACACGTGTCCTTGAGCTTACCTTACTGGAAGCATACGATACACAATATGCATACCACATGTGTGTTCATCAACTACATTGTAGTTAAGGCTTCTGGTCAACAGCAGGCTATTAGCAGTTCTGGGGGAAGTCCAGTATGTGTGTGGATTTGACCGCACAGGAGGTGGGGGTGGTTGGCATGCCAAACCTCCCGCATTGTTCCAGGGTCAACTGTAAATATATTGTGATCTATTTGAAGAAAACATGTTAACAAAAAGGGAGGTGACGCATAGTCTTTCCACATGGAAGCTAAGAGGCCGCCAGAGCAGCAGACCCATCACGTGCTCCTCTGGAGACGCACTATGGAAAGCAAGCCACCAGACCAGAACTACAGTTGAGGACTCGGCCAATTAAAAGTTAATCCAATTTATTCTCGTTAGTGAACTTGTTTGAGATCTTAACTTTTAGAAATACATGCAGAAATATTTACAGATTAAATGGTGTGTCTTAGACTTGCTTGAAAATAAAAGGAGGGACGGGATACATACACACATGCACATACATATATAAAATTAAGACTGGCCCTTGAGTCTTTAATAGAGGCTGATTATACTGTTCTACTTTTACGTAGGTCTTAAATTTTCCAAAATAAAAAGTTAACAAAACTTGATTGCTCTGATCCAATTCCAGTCTTACCAAGTAATCTTCTGAGTAATAAAATCTGATCCCCTTAAAGGCTCTTCACAGAGAAAATACACACTGACCGACTGACAACTGCTTGGCCCTAAAGGCAGAAATGCATATTTCTTAAATTCAATAAGCACATAGCCTCTATATTTGATTCTTATGAATTTAAGTAGGAATAATTTCCTCTTGAGCCTGCTAAATTCTGGGTGTTGAGGGCTACTGAACTTCTAGATCTCCAATGAAACCAGACATTAGTCATGGACACCGTAAGGGGCCAGGCCTCTCTCCCAAATCCTACCTACCTCCCATTGTGATCAATACATCAAAATGCCCATAGAATCATGAAGATGACGACGACTTCTCACGAACTCATTTACTGCACCTCATTAAATTAACTTAGCTATGGATTCCAGAAGAGGCAAGAACAAACCTGGCATTTTAATCCCTTAGTAATTTAGTACCTTAATACTTCAGTAAACTGTGTTTTCGGTTTCTCCAGATGGGTTTTCCAGATACGGAGCAACAGAATAGGAGGAACTAGCACTTGCGCTCTCACAACCACAAGCCTGTCAAACTCCACCACCAGTGCTTGGGAGGGACTGCTTTTGTATTAGACTGCTCTGCATCTTATCTTAATCCTGACAAAGTCAGAGATACCCAACCCATTCGTGTGGGCCTTCTGGGCCTCCACAATCAGCCAGTGAGCCAGGAATGCCCTGTGCCCCTGGCATGATCTCACACCAAGCACCTCTGAGGTGGCAGCTTCATCACTTCCCACAGCTCGGTGGAGGGTATTTTAGGAAATTCTGTGACAGTTCACTATGCCTATGAGAGTGGACACAGTGGCAGAAAAGTGAGGGACTGGACCAAAAGGCAGAGAGAGAGACCTAGGTTCCACATGCCAGCTCTCTGCCAACATGAAGCCATATGACCTTGCGTAAGTTATTTAACCCAGTTACCCGGTTTCTCTACCTTATAAACTTGACAGCAATATTTGAAAACTATAAACCACAAACAATTGCTATGATATATGTAGCTGGATAATACTTTTACACAGTTGACAAAGCTGGCTATAGAAACATGCTGCCAAACTAGCTGGGGGTGGGGGGAACGACCTGTTTAAGCCTGTTTTTAAAAAATAAATCCTTATTATGTGTACTACACAGCCCATACACAGAAATGAATACGTCTGTAATCTGACAAGACCAGGTTAAAAGAAACCTTGACACAGGATTTAAAACAAAGACCAAAAGCTAGTTAAAAGTTCTTGAATGCTCTTCTACATCATTATTTCATAACTAGAAGAAGAGAGTGCTCATCAGAAGGCTATTTTGAATTTTCTACTACTAAAGGGATCTCTCAGGGATGTAAAAATATATTCTAGTTCACTGTACATCTTTGCTATTAAAAGCAAAATTCAAATGTATTCATAACCACCCAAAATTGAAGCACCATTATTTAAAACATTTAAACTGCAGAAATGCTATAAAAATTAGTCTTTAACAGAACAGTCAGATAAAACTGTACACCAACACTTCTAGTAACAGTGCACCTCATATTTAAAACAGGGGACTAGTTCAGAGTCAATAGTTTTATTAGAAAAGATTAATACTAAAACTTTTCAATGACAGAGACAATCAAATTTGTAACAGAAAGTCAGAGATACTTTATTTTCACTTCTAAATCCAAAGGCTAGAATATAGCAGAGTTGTAAAAATGTAATCCCACTTAAGTCTGATTCACACAAATACTAACGTTTAATCCTGTTTTCAAAGTCCAAGAATGAAAACTTGCAATTAAACACTGAGCAAGCCACATGTTTAGGGAATATTTCTTAAAAAGTCTTAAAGAAAACAATATGATACAGGACCTAAGTTCTCAGTGGCATATATACGCTATTAACACATGTTCTGAAATCTGGTAGGTCACGTCAGTCCTGCATTTTTAATAAAAAAACAAAACAAAACAGAACTAACTGAGCTTTCTACTTTTCTATGCCACTATAGTTTTCTTTCACCTCATTTTAATGGCGATCTTCATGTTATGCCGTTTTCACGTTTCTTGCAGAAATCTTCGAACAGCAGTCCTACAATGCAAAAGTTGGGGAAAAAAGATAATTAGACAACATGTAAAAGGCAAATGTTTATGACTAAGTTGTTGGCCCAGTCACTAACTGCTACTTAATATATGGACATGGAACATCTGTATTCTCTGTAAGTTACCAAGGCATCAGCGTGGTCTTAAAGCCTTGTGCCTGCGTGTGCTGGCCTATGTGTGAATGGCTCACACACGTAACACTACACTGCTGTCCTAGAAGAAGAAAGCCATTGACAAACCAACTACTTGGTACTCCCTTTCAGTAGACATCTTTCATCCCAAGCCACTAGCCCAAAGAATGAACAGTTTATAGGTTTTAAGAACTCATAAAACCTAACTTTTAATAGTTCTTTAAAAACCCAAATTCATTCTACATGATTCATCAACTCTTTGTATTTCACACATTGAAGGTGTCTGTCTCTGCTATCCACTGCTGCCTGAAACGTCTCAGCCAGTGACTATTCCTATGGACCTATGGCTGCCTGCAAATTCTCCTACACCGTAGGAAATATTAAACACATACCTCTTAAAGACTTGAGAATTGCATTGAATGTAACAAGGCGAATAATGTGAAGTGTTTATTGTATTTAAAATTCTTTAAAGATATCTAATTCTGGGCACCACTGCATCCCTACATACAGTTGAAAAAAAATTCCATTCTGTTAACATTTGATTTAGAAGGTTTCACGCAATACACAAAAAACCCCTCTGTGCTTCTTGTAAAGAACAAAAAAGATACACAACAGTTAAGCGTAAAGATCACAGGCAATAGCATTCAAACATGGATGTGGGTAGAGAAAGGAGTACCTGGCATGAGTACCTGCTTAGTTTGACTGAATCCTTGATTTTTAATTTGGCTTTTCATGGGCCGCTCACAACACCAACGCTGTGTGAGGTATGGTAGTCAGCTGCAATAATTCATAAACCCTACACTTCCATCAATCCAATGCTACTGGCTCTCGAGTTACAGAACAAACTGCATTAGAATGCAAGGCAATAAAGCAAAAAACTAGAAACATCCTTGACAAAGAAATACTAGCAGTTTAATTAAAACAAAGTAGTCCAACATGTGCCTCAGAAATATTTAAGTTGTTAAAGCATATGTCTCTGCCAATGTACCAACACAAGATGGACTTAATACCAAAAAGAAAAAAAAAACAGTTCAACCTTTTTATTAAAAAAAAGAAAAAAAAAAAGAAATGACAGCAAAATCCCTAAAAAAAAGGATAATTAACTTTTCAATGGCGACTACATTACAAACGTGGGCAATAAGTTCCAAAGAGGCACACTAATGGGGGCACGAGTCTGCTACAAAATAGCTGAGACAAAACAATGTACCTCAAAATGTTTTGCAGGACTACACTGTCTTTTCCTTCAGAAGATGCTTTTGTATGTCTTCTTACTCGGCTTAGCTCCGTCTTCGTCTGTGCATACTTACGCTGCACTGCCAAACAGTAACAAAAAGCCCTAATCAAAGTGAGAAACAATACACTTACCTCTGTCTGATCTGAGGTCTTATCAGATCAGTTTTAATTGGACTGAGTGTCACCTTCAGATTTAATGTCTTCACTGGTCCCATTGACCTCATTCTTAGTATCACTTTCCTTTGATTCAGTGTTTGTGTCTTCACTCTGTTTTTCTCGACTACTGGACTTCACACTACTTTTTTTATCATCAGATCCCCTCTTTTCTGCCATAAAAGAAGACATTGATCGTGGATTTTAAAGTAAAATACAGTAATACATACATGACATTTTGAAAAGTGCAACAATTGAGAGATGAAAAGACAATTATTTCCCACAGACTGCAAGTAACACAGTTTGGTGAATCTATCAAAGGGATAAAAATCTGAGAGGACCATATGGGGAATTAAGAGAAAGCAAAAGGTAAAAGAGTAGGCAAATTCTCTCAAACTGGTGATAATCTACTAAGTATGGGTAACTCCAAATCACTGCAGGATCTAAGATTTAAGTAAATTTCATCTGGAGTGAGGAACATCAAAAAGCAATGGGAAGGGTATGAACGGTAGCACACAAGAACTGTGTTCACACAAAGTTAAGTTACTAAAGTAAAAACAGTAACTGCCAAAAGTAAAAACAGTCGAACATATTTAATAGGCATGTTTCTCCAACTATAGACTTTGTAATGCAAAACACTACTTACATATGTGTAAATTTGAATACCTAAGAGGAACAAGCCCAATGAAAGAAAGTGGATCTTAGATCTCAATCCAAGTACTGAACTTTGGTGCTTTGCTAAGAAAAGTAATACATATGCCATCTCATAGTTGTTTTTCCAAAAGAAGAAATTAAAGCTCAACTCGGCTGCGAATAAAGAACGAAAAAAGTAAATCTCAACTTTTTCTCCTACTGTTTTCCTTGGAATGGCAAAACCTCAGACTAGAGGCAAAAAGTGGTGCATGGAGCAAGAATATTCCAGCTTTTTTAGTTCCAAGTATTGCCTAACAAAAGATTTCTACAGAAAATGTTAACACAAACTACAAACTTTCTGGAAAAACTACTTTCCCCCTAAAACGAAGTTAAGAGTAACTGGTCTAGCAGAGTAGTTCATAAGACAGAAAGACATTTTAAGAGAAGCATGACCCTTTACAGATTCTGGACAAAGTTGTTAAGACACAACAGCAAGTCACTGGGAGAGGGATGGTAATGAAAACAAAATATGGCGGTGGCAGGGGGCACTCATTCAAAGAATGGAAGAACTGAAGAGCTTATGTGAAGGAGCATATTCAGTCCATAAGACTTGCAAAATGTACACGAAGCAATGTCCAAGTAGCTGACTGCAGGACTTGCTCCATGTCTGTCCGTCGACTCATGAGAACTGAGCCAGTACAGTGTGCTCTAACTGACCTTGTGGGAAAGTCCTCCCTTTGTGCCTTATGGGCTTCTCCGGTGCACGGGTAGCTTCAATGAAGAAGAGTCGTCTCGTTGCCCCGTAGAGGACTAGTAGTCAGTCCAATAATCTTATCTTCTGCCCTATGTAGATATGGTAGATCTTAATAGTCCTAAGGACATCCACAAAGTGTGGTGGATTTCAGGGCTATGGATTAAAAAAGGAAACTCTCTGGACAAAGAGAGAACCCTAAATTGGTTGGTGTTAAGAAACAGAGGTCTGTGTAAGAAACCACTTTTCATTGTGGCGTTCAAGTACTTCAAAACACAGCACCTGGAGTAGTGACCTCCCGCTTACTCATGTGCCATTATCAAATGTTCCTGCTCAGAACTCAGGGCTTCAGTCATCTGTACACCTAGGAGTGCCTAAATGGCTACATGACATTTCCAAAGGCCAATTCTAAAAGAGATCCCCAAGTTCAAGACAAATCTACAATGCATTCCCAATCTTTCAAGGTGGACCTGATGCAGAACTTTCTCCAAATCAACTCTTCTCTCCTTCCTCCGTGAAAATCCCTATTTGTCCATAATCCAAACAGTGCTTATTTTACTTAAGCAAAAGTTTTATTAAATTCTATGATGTCACCATTATAATTACGATTATATTATAGCTATGAAATTCAGGACATCTTTTTGCTCTATCCAGAAATTACACAAACATGCCTGTTTTAAGTAAGGTCAGTTCCATTTACTGCTTTTTTTACAAATAGTTTATTGTCAAGTTGGTTTCCTTATTGCTCATTTTTGATCCCAGAGAGTTATGAAGGCTAGCTAGGCTTTTGTCCCTGGGAACCAGTTCAACTATTTTAAGTGACATGAAGGATAATATAGCAAAGAGCTTTAATTCTCAAAGAGAAGTGATTAATTTGATTTCTGACATCAATTATCTGGCTCTAAAGACTGGACCCCTCACCCGAAAAACACATTATACAAAAAAGCCTTGCAAAAAAGAGTGGGTGAAACTTTCTTAAACTAATGTAAAATCAGTTAATAATCCTTTGTAGCAACTGCCTTTTGAATCACAGAAGCAATTTCTGAACTTAAATGACAAATACTAAAGCTCATGATATCAAGTTTAAAAAACTCTCCTTGTTTCCTACTTCTTAACATTGGCTCCAGGTGGTAGGGAGGAAAAACACTACATGTAAATATTTTTAAAAGAAAAGGTATCCTTATTTCAGGAAAAATGAAAGCATACGACCAAAAATATATGTCCACTGTTTGTGCTGGTTTTTCTCTAACTCAGTCTAACAAAAACCTGAGTCTGGCGCCCAAAAAAACCCAAAACCAAAACCAACAAAAAACCCCACAAAAACCAAAAACCATAGAATAGTTCCATAAAAAAATAAGAAATGAGTGTCACATAAAAGTCCAGTTGAAGAAACTCAACCACAGCAGCACGCATGTTGGGTGATCAAACATGGACACCAATAGGCAGAACAGGACGGAACAAGCAGAGCCAAGAAAATTAGAAACAGGCCCTTGCTCTCATGCAAAGCAGAACGGCCCAGTCAATACAAAATGAAATGCTCAAAAGATCTAAAGAAAATACAGAAAGGAGACCCTGTTTTTAAAAGAATTATCTTTCAGTAAAGACTACGCTAAAAAATGAGAATATCCATGTGAAAACATGCCAAAGACAAAATGAAAAAGTCGATTAATAGCGCAGTGACAGTGCATTCCAGCCACCAGAATGCCACAGAAAATCGAAGGGAAAGGTAGAAAGGAAAGAGTATGTTGTTTCAATAGAAAACACAGTGAAGACATACGTAAAATACTCAACTTCTGCAAACTTAGAAGTTAATTACAGAGTTAAATGAAGGCTGCACATGAGGACCAATGCAACACAGCACGCTTACTCTGCAAGACATATTATGGAACACGCAGCAGATAAAAAAAAATGTTGCCAATAACCAAGCTATAAATTCTACAGCCTGATAATCCTGAAGAGTAACGCAATACTTGGAAGAATTGAGATGATTAACCTCAGGTTAACAACAGAAGGTGTGGTCTTAACATGTTCTAAGAAAACACCAGGTCAACTGTCATTCTCACAAATCAGAGCAGGAGAGGGGGAAGTAATGCCTGTCTCCTACTGAGTGGCGTTGGTTCCAAGTAAGAAAGAAGACAGCTTGAAATGGAACTCTGCCTATCTCCAGAGAAATGTGAGTGTGGAGAAACAAGTGTTAAAATAGTCTCTTAATTAACAAACTGAATCTTTACTTGATGAATTAAATTCTCACATAAACTAACCTTTCTCCTTTGATTTTCTATCTTGTTCTCTGTCCCGACTTTTGCTCCTGTGCTTATAGGACTTTCGATCCCGGCTTTTTGATCTTCTCCGATCCCGACTACGAGATCTATGTTTTCTTTCTGATCGATCATGGCTTCTGCTTCTTCGTCGATCTCTACTTCTTCACAATTTAAAATAAAAGGAAAGCAACCTCAGCTGACATTACAATGAGAAAAACTTTGCAAAAATTATACACTGTTTAATAATTTACAAGATTAAGCAAAACTTCGCCCTAAAAAGCAAATGAATAAAATCCACTACAAAAAACACATCTATAGTCTACTGTAGATCTTAAGTTACTGAAAATCTAACTTCCAATTTTTCAAAGAGTGCTAAGATAGTTATCATGGTCTTTAAGACCCCTCTTCAATCGCAACTCTAAAACAGGAAAATTGATTTCATTCTTCATGTGTTTAAAGAATTAGTTATGTTTTAGGGGCGCATGGGTGGCTCAGTCAGTTAAGCGTCGACTTTGGCTCAGGTCATGATCTCAGTTCATGGGTTCAAGCCCCGCATCGGGCTCTGTGCTGACAACTCAGAGCCTGGAGCCTGCTTCCGATTCTGCGTCTCCCTCTCTCTCTGGCCGTCCCCTGCCTGTGCTTTGTCTCTCTCTCAAAAAAAAATGTGTGTAAAAAAAAAAAAAGTTATGTTTTAACACTTTAAAAAGAAATTTTTGGGGCGCCTGGGTGGCTTAGTTGGTTAAGTGTCCGACTTTCGCTTGGGTCATGATCTCGCGGTTCGTGGGTTTGAGCCCCGCGTCGGGCTCTGTGCTGACTGCCAGCTCAGAGCCTGGAGCCTGTTTCAGAGTCTGTGTCTCCCTCTCTCTCTGACCCTCCCCTGCTCACGCTGTCTCTCTCTCTCTCCTAGAAATAAATAAAAAATAAATAAATAAATAAATAAAAAGAAACTTTTATGTTTTTATTTTACTTTTGAGATAGACAGAGTGTGAGTGGGTAATGGGCAGAGAGAGGGAGATACAAAATCTGAAGCAGGTTTCAGGCTCTGCGCTGTCAGTACACAGCCACATAAGGGACTCAAACTCCTAAGCCGTGAGATCACGACCTGAGTCAAAGTTGGATCTTTAATTGACCGAGACACCCAGGGGCCCCTAACGTTTATTTATTTTAGAGTGAGAAAGAATCCCAAGCAGGCTCCATGCTGTCAGCACAAAGACCGATGTGGGGCTTGAACACACAAACCGTACGATCGTGCCCTGAGCTAAAATCAAGAGGTGGGATGCTTAACTGACGAAGCCACCCAGGCACCCCAGTTAGATTAGCTCTTGCATTATGAGTAATGTCCTCCAAAGTAAATGTACAGAATTTTACCCAAAAATAACATAATTTAAGTGTCTTCTTAGAATCAATGAGAAGAGAAGCACTTAAAGACACCATCCAATAGCACGGACTTCCTGGTCAGAGCACACTGAACCTCCTTACACTGGTGAAACAGCAAAGAAGTTGCCTTGAAGATGGACTGGCTAACTGACTCCACTCTCATAATCTAATCCTAGTGCCTGACAGTATTTCCAAGGACAAAGGAAATAATATTAGTAATTACTACTGTTTAGTGCACACTCGTTATATGCTGTGCACAGGCTGGCAGGCTCTTTGTACCTGCTTCGCCTTCTTTCTCTACTTCGTGATCTTTTGTGGTCCCGAGACCTGCTGCATCTTCGGTCTGAAGTTCGGCTTGAATGCCGACTTCTTGAGCGGCTTCGTTTTCTTCTTTCTCTGTCTCTAGCCCTTTCTTTCTCTCTTTCTTCCTCTTCTCTCCGTCTTTTCCTTTCTCTTTCCTCTCTCTCTCTCTCCCGTTCTTTTTCTCTTTCTTCCCGTTCTTGCTTCTCCTTTTTTAAGCGCTCATCACGATCAGGTTCTTCAGTTCTTTTTCTTAACTTTTCCTAAAAGAAATCAAGTTCGATTTTTATAACATCCTTGAAGTAACACTGTCAAACAAGGGTTGACATGTAAAGCAAGTGTACATCAACTTATGGAATTTGATGTCCTAAAAGAAAAATGTAGAAATTCTGACACCATGTTGGTATGTGAGATAATGTTATTGACTAAGTCCTTAGGGTTACGCTTTCTCCCAAATTCCTGGCACAAAAAAGTGAAGGAATTAAAATGCTTTGATAATATTCATTAATAGCACAATTTTAGGGACGTCTGGGTGGCTCAGTTAAGCATTAATAGCACAATTTTATAGGAATTATTATGGTTTCAAATAATACACATCAGCAAAATATCAACAGGAGGCTTATGTCTCTATGTGATCAATTTTTAGTCACACTAAAGTACAGTACTGGCTGTGGCTAAAGTGCATGATTGAAAGCTTACTTTTAATTCTTCTACAGTAGCTTTAATTTTGGCATAGCCCATGTGCTGCTTTCCCATCAAATGGTCATCTACCCGGGACTGGGCATCTCCTACTATCAAAAAGGCTCCACACACTTCACAAACTTCCATTTGTTTTTCTTGGGCAGCAAAACTTTCAATCGTCTGAAATGATAAACCAGTTATTATAAAGAATATCTGAGAGAGAACAAACAAATCCAAAGTAAGTACTTAAAATTCAGAAAAGAGTTCTAATTTTGTAAATGCCTCCAAAGCCATTAATACTGAGCAGTAACTGGCCAACTTTTAGAGCAGGAACAAGGCAACATCAACCAACTTTCCATTATCATCAAGGAAGTGTGGAGACCCCGTCATTCAACTCTAACTAGTCAATTACCCATACCACCTTGAAAAAGGTTATCTAATACCTCTCAAAGTCTGAATTCCTTTCTTAGGTTGAACAGGCTAAAGGTGAGGCCTCGATACTAAAAGTTTTTTTTTTTAATATTTTATTTATTTCTGAGAGAGAGACAGCATGAGCAGGGGAGGGTCAGAGAGAGAGGGAGATAAAGAATCTGAAACAGGCACCAGGCTCTGAGCTAGCTGTCAGCACAGAGCCCGACACGGGGCTCGAAGCCACAAACCATGAGATCATGACCTAAGCCAAAGCTGGACGCTCAACCGACTGAATCACCCAGGCGCCCCTAAAAGTATTTTTTAAAGGAGGATCCTGGGTGGCTCAGTCAGTTAAGCATTTGACTCTGTCTCAGGTCATGAGTTTGGTTCATGAATCTCAGGGTTCAGGAGTTTGAGCTCCACATCAGGTGAGCAGGAGCCCCGCTTTGGGTGAGCCCCACTTCTCTCTCTCTGCCCCTCATGGTATTCCCTCTCCCTCTATCCCTCCCTCACTTACACTGTCTCTAAATAAATTAATTAACTAAAAAAAGTATTTTGGGGGAGGGGAGGTGATTCCTGAGCTCAGGAGGTTAAGCAACCAACTCTTGATTTCGGCTCAGGTTATGATCTTATGGTTCATGGGATCAAGCCCCACATCAATTGGACTTGGGATTCCCTCTCTCCCTCTCCCCTTCCACCCTCATAATCTCTCTCTCAATCTCTCTCAAAATAAACATTTAAAAAATAAAAATAGGAGTGCCTGGGTGGCTCAGCTGGTTAAGATTCTGACTTAGCTCAGGTCATGATCTCAACGGTCCATGGTTTGGAGCCCCACATCAGGCTCTGTAGTGACAACTCAGAGCCTGGAGCCTGCTTCAGATTCTGTCTCCCTCTCTCTCTGCCCCTCCCCCACTCAAGCTCTCTTTCAAAAATGAACATATCTTTAAAAATTTTTTTTAATAAAAAAATACACATTTTTCAAGAGGCGCCTAATTGGCTCAGTCTGCAGAGCATACGACCCTTGACCTTGAGGTCATTTTTCCAAAATGTTTAGGGAACTGAACTCAATGAGCATAATCTGTACATGTCCTATTCAATATGTGGGAAACAATGACCAATATTTTCTACCATCAATATCCAAAACATGTATATTACATTCTCTAATACAAGAAAGTAGAAGATACTTTGAGTATACTAATTTTCAGCTAAGGTGAATGAATATACATGGAGTAATTTATTAGTAACAAGAAAGTAAAACCCACGCCCAGATGAGTAGTCCTAAGGCATAGGCTGGCATGCCAGTATCTAGAGGTTTGTTTTTGTAAATAAACATTTTACTGGAACACGGCCACATCAATTTGTTCATGCACTGTCTAAAGCTTGCTTTCATAATATGAAAGCAGAGCTTGGTAGCTGCCAGGGACCTTCTGGTCTACAAACCTGAAGTATTTACCGTGTGCCCTTTTAAGACACAGTTTGCAAACTCTTGACTTAGGACATGAGAAAACTGTTTACAAAGATTCTCAAACAGGAACAGGTTCTACTAATTCACAGTGAACAGCCCGGAGAAATCAAAACGAGGTTTCTACTCACCGAGGTTGTGGATCTAAGCAATTCCCTCTCTTCTTTTAACTGTTCAACTAATTTCATCATTCCCTGGGCTTCTTCTACTTTTCCTTCAGATCCTAATTCTTCAATCTAAGGGGTGTTAAAAAAAAAAAAAAAGAAATGCAGTCAAGACTCCTTTCTAACCAAACTACCGAAGTATTTTTCTGTTCTTTCCCAAGCTTTATTAGCATTTAGTGGTTGTTTTGGGTCTTTTGTTTGATGCTGTTTACCAAAACCTGTTTGGGTTAAATTTATCCTTTTGATTTTTTACAGCATTAGTAAAGTGTATTTGACACACAATAAACTGCGTATTTTTAAGGTGCACAACCTGGTAAGTTTCGACAACCATGAAACTAACACCATCTTCTGCGTAATGAACACACCCATCACCCCAAATGTGCTTTGTGGCACCTCCTCCCCAAGCAACCACTGACCTGCTTTCTGTCACTATAGATTAGTTTGCATTTTTAAAGAATTTTATGTAAATGGAATTATGTACTACTTCTTCCTTTTTTTGGTCTAGCTTCTTTCACTCAGCCTACTTATCTTAAGATTCACCCACTGTTACATTCATTTTTATTACTGAGCCATATTCTACTGCATGGACACATCACACCATTTATCCATTTGCCTACTGATAGACGTCTGAGCAGTTTCCAGTTTAAGGATTTTGCCACTTACAAACAGAGCTGCTATGAACACTAGTATACAACTCTGTGTAAACATACACTTTCATTTCTCTTGGGTCAATATCTAGAACACATGACTCATCTTTTAACTTTTTAAGAAACATACTCTTTCCAAAGTGGTTATACCATTTTTAGCTCCTCCCAGCAGTGCATGATAGTTCCAGTTTGCCCACATCTTCATTAACACTTGCTATGGTCAGTCGTCTTAATGTTAGCCATTCTAATAGAACATTTAAGTGTCTCATTGTGGTTTTACTTTGTATTTGTCTAATGAGTAATGACTTTAAGCACATTTACATATATGTATTTGCCATCCCTTTATCTTCTTTGGTAAAGTGTCTGTTCCCAGTATTTTCTGTTATTCATGTATACAATTCTTACCTGCTGCAGGAGCACATCAATTTTATCTGTTAGAACCTGAATTTTTTCTTCATTTTTGCCTGTTGGACCAGCTGCCTATTGAAAAGAATAAAATGTATTATCATTAAGTAAAACACAGAAATATTCAAGCTCTCATATACCATACTTAACACTTGCATTCAACAATTAAAATATTGAATCACAAAGATAACTCAATTACCTTCCATTTCTGGTAGTCAATTACTGATAATTAGAAGAAAAATCTTAATGATTAGCTAAATCAGTACTACTAATAAAGACTGAAAAAACTGAATGCCTTTTAAGTTTATGCCATTCTAAAAAAACACAAATTAATAAACTTGAACACAAGTTTCAATACTAGGGAGGCCTCTGGGTCTTCAGAGAAAAGGGACATGTTACCAAGACTAACAAATTAATTTCATACTCACCCCAGAGGACTGCTGGTTTTGAGACAGTGCCAAACGAGCATGGCCTCGTCTAATTCTACGTTCTACTTCTGCAAGTAAGCTCTGCAGGTATCGCAAAAAATCTCTCTCATAGCCAACTTTCATAAATCGCGAGCTCTTCTCATACCTGATAGTAATAAAAATTACTATTATTACATTATTATTATATATTATATTATTACAAATATTACATTATTCTTCCAAATAGCCATTAAAATTCACATATTCTATCTTAACTTTTTTTTTTTTTAACGTTTATTTTTGAAGAAGAGACAGAACATGAGTTGGGGGGGGGGCAGAGAAAGGAGACACAGAATCCAAAGCAGGGTCTAGGCTCTGAGCTGTTAGCACTGAGCCCGATATAGGGCTCCATCCGACCAGCCGTGAGGTCATGACCTGAGCTAAAGTCAGACACCCAACCGAATGAACCACCGAGGCTCCCCTTAACTAATCTTATACACTTGTTGTATTTACTCTGAAGAGTAAATACAACAAGTGTTTAAGAAGTCAATTTCTAGTCCCTCAATTTGGTAAAAGGAAGGCAGTACTTAGCGTTATGTTTGGTTAAGAGCATAGATAAGGCAAATATAGGTGCTTCACCAGCTCTACCACAATACTGGACCTGTGACCCTCGCCTCAGGACAAGCTTCATTTATAAAATCAAGGGCTGTTAAGGGGCACCTGGGTCGGTCAGTGGGTTCAGTGTCCAACTTTTGATTTTAGCTCAGGTTACGATCCCAGGATCATGCGATAGAACGCTGCATTGGGCTCTGTGCTGAGCATGGAGCCTGCCTGGGATTCTCTCCCTCTCTCACTGCCCCTCCCCACCTCATGCGCACACACACACCCTCTCTCTCTCTCAGAATAAATATTTAAAAAAAACCCTCAGCTCTTAAAAGGCATATAGTATGCACTCATATGGTGGCTAACTATCATTTTTGAAGCTATGACTCTGTACTGTCCCACCCATTAAATAGAATCAACAAGACAATTGCAATTATGTCTTTAATCCTTGCCCCTTTAAACCAAATAACTGACCAAGGGGAAAGGACCCAAAACGATAACTTACTGTTTTCGAAGATTTTCATCATGAATTTTCTCACATGGACCTGAAAAAAAAAGAGAGAAATATAATGTATAAATTATTGAGGATGTTAACCTTTTCTCTTGCGAAAACAAAAGGAATTCTTTAAAAAAAGATCCATTTTATCAGTCTGTACACACCTAAATTGGGCCTAATGAATCACAAAGCAATGTGTCCAAGAAAACACATAAAAATTGTTCTCATTCATCTTCAAGATCAGTATAATGGAGAGCAACTATATGGTAAGAAGAAAGAAGAGGGAATGGACGGAAAGAGAAATTGTTCCTACTGCCATCCAAGAAAAAAACTGTAATGAGGGCCAACCTACCACTGACCTTTCACTAATTTGGGGCATTTACAAATGAAGCCAAATAGTACAAGAATACTGCCCTAGTCCTACCCTTACCTACCTCCAAAAGGCAACCAATTTTAACCACACACCTACATCTTCTGGAATTTATTCCCATATTTCTAAACAATTTTGTTTTTTCTTGGTTTATCTTAGACATCACAATTTTACGTTCAATCAACACTTCATATTTTGACTATGCAAGTACTATTACTTGCTGAGTCAAACATAAGGAGCATTATGAGAACTTATATACTTCGTACTTTCGCTGGAATTCTTTCCATTTAATTTTCTGTATTTCCACATTCTTCTCAAACACTTTAATTCAGCTACAGAAATTCTTTCAATATTAATTTCTCTCAAGATTCCAAATCTATCAGAAAATCAGCCTCAATTTCATCCCTGAGCTTCCTGTGCTGCTTCAATCTGGCTGCTCATTTCCTAAGCTCACTGATTAAGAGTGGTGAGCCTGAGAGGTTCCTTTCCTGGTCTGTACTGGATGCAGTTTACTGGATCTCTTGTTTTTCTCCTTGGCCTTATACTCATGTGTCAGTGCAGTTTCCAGAGAAAGAATCATGGGAGATAAATTTGCTGAGATCTTGCATGTCTGAAAATGTCTTTTTTCACCCTCATGCTTTGATGTTTGGCTATATAGCTAACCTAGTAAAAACTAGATTTTCACTCGGAATCCTGAGGGTTTTCTCCAAAGTCTTCAAGCGTCCAAGTGCTGTTACTGACAAATCTGAGGCCATTTTGATTCATACTCCTGTGTGCCCCTGGCCTGCCCCCACCACTCTGAAATTCCGACGGTGTACCTTGCGATGGATTTTTTTCATCCAGTGTGCTGACCGTTTGAAGGACACGCTCAATCAAGAGACTAACATCCTTCGGTATTGTAGTATTTTTAATTTCCTTTCTTCTGCTTTCTCTAGAATTTCTAATTAGTGTTGGGCTGGTACAATTTTTTCCAATTTCAGAATTTTCTGTCCGATCACCCAACATTCCAGCAAATTTCCTTGATTTTATTTCAGATTTCTCCAGTCCTAATTTCCAAGAGCTCTTTTTGGTTTTTCAAAAGTTCCCTTTTTATATAGCACCCTATTCCTGGCATCCTCTTATTTTTCTGAAGATACTAAATTTAGTTACGACTTTTAGTATTTTAGGGCACCTGGCTGGCTCAGTCGGTAGAGCATGCAACTCAGGGTCATGTGTTCAAGCCACACGTTGGGCACAGAGCTTACTTTAAAAAAAAAAAAAGGGGGGCGCCTGGGTGGCTTAGTCGGTTAAGTGTCCGACTTTCGCTTGGGTCATGATCTCGCGGTTCGTGGGTTCGAGCCCCGCGTCGGGCTCTGTGCTGACTGTCAGCTCAGAGCCTGGAGCCTGTTTCAGTCTGTGAATCCCTCTCTCTCTGACCCTCCCCTGCTCACGCTGTCTCTCTCTCTCTCTCTCCTAGAAATAAAAAAAAAATTTAAAAAAAAAAGAAAGAAAAAGATTTTTAATATCTTTTCTTTTCCCCCTTATTGCTAATTTCACTAAACTTTTCCCCCCTCCTGTTGGTTTTGGTTAATCTTTGTGTTGAAGGTTTTCTTCAAATGTCTAACTTGGATTCCTTGGCTGGAAAAACACTTCCAAAATCTAACTGGAAGTTGGTATGCACAGGCAGGATTTATCAACTAATGGGCTTTACCACAGGAAAATAAGGCAGCAAAATTCTTTTAGGAGATTCCCCAAGGGTCAGTACCTGTAGATCACTTCTCTGGAACTGTTCACTTTCTCTAAAGAATCCTCTTCTCTTCTGCCTGAGGAAAAACATCTGGCTGTATCCTTCTAGGAACAGGGCAGAGGAAGGGAATGGGAAAACCCCACTAGTAAGAATATAGACTTAACTCTCTTATAAGTCTCATTTTTACTCATTACTGCCCTGTACTATGTCTGAAATCCCAATATCTAGGTTCGTCCAGTCCTAATGTGCTTCTGATGCACTGGAGCAAGCATTGTGCTTAATGAATTAACTTCTCTTTTATGCTTCCAGAATAATATTAATTATGTACCATCCTTGGGCGAAAAAAGTCACTCAATTGGGGGGAAGGTTCTTTTTTTTTTTTTTTTTTGCATTTTGTGGTTCAGATGAACTACAGTCTCAGTGGTCCAATTCCTCCAGAAAATAACCCCCTAGTATCTCCAGGTTGTGGGGGCAAAGGTAGAATCACCAGATGCACAGGTCTTAAGAGAGTCCCTCCAGGGACACTGGGCAATGTCTTTTTAGTTGGAGACGTTTTTGGTTTTCACAGTTGAGGGCTGCTACGGCATCTAGGCCAGGAATGCTATTAAACACCCTACAATACACAGGACAGCCCCCTAAAACAAAGTTATCCAGTTCAAAATGTCGAATGTCAAGGTTGAGAGACCATGAACTAGACTAATTTTTCATTTTCAGCCCCATGTAACTCAACTTTATGTTCTATGGTACCTGGTGCCTCCAAATCCTGAGCCTGTCCAAGGTTCTGCTGATCACTCATTTCCTTTTAATATAGCCCCTTCTGCAGGCTTTTAGGGTACAGGGTTTCTCTGCTCTGTTGAGTTTGCTGCTACTCTTCCATCCACTTGTCATCTTCTGAAAATCTGTTGACATCTCTAATGTTACCTCTTCTTCTGTTTATACCTTTTTTGTTTTTAAAATTTCATTTTAGTGGAGGAGTTAGGGAGGGAGTGGAAATAGACATGTATGTTCACTTGAGCCACCATGTTTAACTAGACTGGCATTAATACAAAACTCTAAGCCAGAAAAGAGATTATTGTATCAACAAACCTTATTTAAGACAAAAATTTTCAGAATTTATAAAGTACCAGTTTTTATTTTAAACCGTAATTCGATATAAGTCACATAGAAAACGTACTTACCAAGATCGGAACGAGTGTTTGTGAACAGTTCCGCAGGACAAAAGCCACAGAGATAATATTTACAAACCTAGTGAAGAAAAACAAAAGTACTTAAATTTTTTAAGTTGTTCAGTTTTAAAACTATATTGGAAAAGGGTACCAAATTACTCTTTTCTCATTTCTTAACTTTCATTTTTCAACCGAATAAGTATAAGAACAGTTTCATTTGTTAAATCATATTAGTTTTTAAATTAGTGACTTTCCAACTCCCAGAGTTCAGTAAAAAATGTGCAGGACAGACAGAGTTACCAGAATTTCCAACTATCTACTTTTTAAAAAATGGTTTTTAAACAAAATTTTTAATGTTTTTTATTTATTTTTGAGAGACAGAGAGAGACAACACAAGTAGGGGAGGGTCAGAGAGAGGGAGACACAGAATCTGAAGACAGGCTCCAGGCTCCGAGCTAGCTGTCAGCACAAAGCCCAATGCAGGGCTCAATTCCAGGAACCACGAGATCATGACCTAAAAGGAAGTCGGAAGCTTAACTAACTGAGCCACCCAAGTGCCCCTTAATGTTTATTTTTGAGAGAAAGAGAGAGCATGCATGTGCAAACAGGGGAGGGGCAGAGAGAATGGGAGACAAAGAATGGGAATATGACTCCAGGCTCTGAGCTGTGAGCACAAAGCCTGAGGCGGGGCTCAAACCCTTGAACCAGATCACGACCTGGGCCAAAGTCGGACACTTAACCAGAATGAGCCAGGGAAGAGGTGCCTCCTACTAGTTTTAATCACCACTCTCCACACAAAGAAACAACAAATATGGGAAAGATTATCCGTGAGGGCAAATTTTACTTTATTTAAAAAAACAACAACACAAAAAACCCTACACCGTGATTATCATTCTAACTTTGTTAAAGCCAGAACCAACCTACAGATTAGAATTTGGAAATCACTGTATAAATTACAAATAACTTTCACTTAAGGCAATCTGGGTGGTTATTTTCCTTTAAGAGATCCTGTAACGAGCCCTAAAACACACTGGATATTTTCACTGAGTGACTCCTCTTGGGCTCTTCCTATATAAGCAAAGACTATTAACACGAAACTAACTTTTAATTCTCTCCATTAGTACTTACTCTAACTCCTTCAGATATATTCCAAGACTGTCCTAGCTGACAATTTAATTCTGTATGCTGCAAACCAAAAAGTGTTAAGCAAAATTCCAAAATATCTCCTGTTTTATAAAACTTGTCATTAGGTAGATGATCAATGCGCAACTACGACATATGAAAAGAAAAAGCATGTTAAATTTAAGATGGAGAATTCTTTGTAGGTACCTAGGACTGGTTGTTAAAGCTGCAATCAAGGGGTGCTTGGCTGGCTCAGTCAGGAGAACATCTGACTCTTAGTCTCGGTTGTCAGTTGCAGCCCCATATTGGGTGTACAAATAACTTAAATAAAACTAAAAATCAATCAATCAGCGTGCATAGGTGGCTCAAATCAGTTAGGCATCCAACTTTGGCTCAGGTCACGATTTCAGTTTGCCACATCGGGCTCTGAGAGAGCAGAGCCAGCTTGGAATTCTGTCTCTCTCTCTCTCTCTGCCCTTGCCCCCATGGCTCTCTCTCAAATAAATATAAACTTAAATACACACACATGCACACACAGGAATAAACATCTCTATGGTTCCTCTCCTGACTCTAAAAAACAAGTAAATGTAAACTTTTTTCTAGAAAGGAAATCATACAATTCCTTCTGGTAATGAAGTACCAATATAGTACTTATTGAATCTTATTTTTAGTAACATTTTTCACTGAAATCAAACTGGCCCCAGATCTGACTTTGGGCTTTATCCTATATTGTGGCTTACCCTTTCTATAAAACTGGTGATTTCTACTAGCTTCAGGGTTTGTCATAAGCTGATATATATTGTTTCTTGTTAAATATTTCTGGTTTACCATAAAACCCAAGTTAAAAAAAAATCTAAGTTTCATTTACACAAACAAGACTTTCTAAAAAATAGTAGATTCTTGGGTGCCTGGCCAGTGGCACATGTGACTCCCACATTAAAAAAAAATTAAAAATAATAAATAAATGTAGATTCTAAGTGGTGAAAACTCTAAATCTAAATGTACTGTCAGTCTTTAAATAAAATACAATTTCAATAACGTATTTTCAATTAAATAAACACACTCTCAAATCTAATTAAGTACTGCATGGGATTTTAATTTAAAGCAGCAGTTAGAGGGCCCTAAAGTAAACAAATTGGATCCCAAAGATTACAGGTGTGGGATTTTTGAAATATGCCCACACTGAAGTAGAGATCAAAGAAGTCCAACTGAAGGAACTCTGGACAGTGAATTTTGGATTGAACCAAAAAGTTCTTTTTCTAAGAGCTATTTTGAAGATTAATGATTTATTCTGACTTTGAAGGAACTATAGTGATTGGCAGTGGAAGGAACCACATGTAAAATTCATTAAAAAAAAAAACTTATTGAGGGGCGCCCGGATGGTTCAGTCGGTTAAGTGTCCAACTTCAGCTCAGGTCATGATTGTGTGTGGTTTGTGAGTTCTGTGCTGACAGCTGGGAACCTGAAGCCAGCTTCGGATTCTGTCTCCCTCTCTGCCCCTCCCCTGCTCTCAGAGAGAGAGGGAGGGAATCTCAAAAATAAACATTAAAACATTTTATATAAAAAAAACTTATTGACTTTAAAATAAATAAGCAAATAAGTAAATAGATAAAGCATCATTTAGGGGCACCTGGCTGGCTCAGTCAGCTGTGGAACATCCCACGTTGAGTGTGAAAATTACGTAAATGAATTTTTTAAAAAACCTTAAAAAAAAAAAAAAAGGTGGAGGGGCGCTTCAATTGATTAAGCACCCGATTTCAGCTCAGTTTGTGAGTTCCAGCCCCACATCAGGCTCTCTGCTCTCAGCACAGAGCCCACTTTGGATCCTCTTTGTCCGTATCTCTGCCCCTCCCCTGCTCTCTCTCGCTCTCTGAAAAATAAAGTAGGGACGCCTGGGTGTCTCAGTCATTTAAGCATCTGACTTCTGATCAGGTCATGATCTTCCAGTCTGAGTTCAAGCCCCGCATCAGGCTCTGTGTTGACAGCTAGCTCTAAGCCTGGAGCTTGCTTCTGTCTGATTCTGTGTCTCCCTCTCTCTTCTGCCCCCCCACCCCCGCTTGCCCTCTGTCTCTCTCAAAAAATAAACATTAAAAAATTAAAAATAAATAAAGTGGCATTAATTTTGGATGACTTTTTAATTTTAAAAAGTAGAAAGTGACACTTCAATAATTATTTAAGACTACATGCAAAAAACAATGCTGGAAAGCCAAGAATGAATAAAACCTACTCTTCAAGATCAGTCTCATAGAAGACAGTCAAAAACAAAATATAAAGTGTATTAGACTACACATTCAACACCAGATACAGAAGTGAATTTAGTCAGGAATGTCAGGTCATCACAGGTAGTGAAGCTTGAACTGGTTCTTAAGTTCAGAAGTAGAAAGACTGCAAGACATTCTAGGCATAAGGAAAACAGTATGTGAGAAAGATCTAATAGTATGAAATGGGCAAGTGTAAACAGATATGCTTGGAGAGATAACAGTGCAGAGTCTGGATCTTGGCTGACACTCCTACATTGTGAACTACAGACTCTGCCTTGGTTTCCTCATATAAAACAAGATGACAGTATTTCATAGTGAGATTGTAATATTTAAGTTATATGTTTGTTACATCAGGAGAGGGAACAATTAGTCTGATTTTTACCATACTATTCTTTTTCTTTTTTTTTTAATGGTTTTAGGCATTATGTACAGAGACAGACATGCCTGCCAGTGGGCTAACCAGGTACTACCTAGAATTTAGTCCAATCACCCCATTTGAGACTAGAGAGATCAACCACATGACCTGCCCTAAAGGCATCTAGCCATTTATAGAATCTAGATTAGAACCCACTTTCCTTTAAAAAAAAAAAAAAAAAAGGACCCACTTTCCTAATCCAGTTCTATGTGCTCTTCCCGCTCTTTCCTTAAAGTACTGCTGTAACAGGACTGGTACATGAAAATGTTACTCTAGGGGCACCTGGGTGGCTTAGTTGGTTAAGCATCTGAAAAACTCTTGATTTCAGCTCAGGTCATGACTTCAAGACAATATGGCCTCCTTGGGATTCTCTCTCTGCCCCGTCCCCCTCGCCCACAGGCAGGCACATGTGGGCGTGCTCTCTCTCAAAATAAACTTGAAAAAAAAAAAAAGAAAAAGAAAAAAGAAACGCTCCTGTACCCATCAAACTCTAGCTTAGACTGCTTTCCTTTTCTTTTTGAGAAAGAGAGTGAGAGAGAGCACATGTAAGCAGGGAAGAGGGGCAGAAGGAAAAAGAAACTCAAGCAGGCTCCAAGCACAGCGTGGAGCCCAGTGCAGGATTCCATCTCACGACCTGAGCCAAAATCAGGAGTTGGACCCTCAACTGACTGAGGCACTCAGATGCCTCTAGACTGCTTCTTTTATTTTTTTTTTAACATGTATTTATTTTTGCGACAGAGAAAGACAGAGACAGAACATGAGCAGGGGAGGGGCAGAGAAAGAGGGAGACACAGAATCTGACAGGCTCCAGGCTCCCAGCTGACAGCACAGAACCCGACTTGGGGCTCGAACTCACAAACTGGGAGATCATGATCTGAGCTGAAGTCAGATGCTTCACAGACTGAGCCACCCACATGCCCCTGGACTGCCTCTTTTAAACTGTCCTTGCGACTAAGGATCTTTAACTAAAAATATTAACATTTAGTCTTTGATTCAGCAAATGTTTACTAAATGTCCATCGTGGAGCTAACAATCAAGACAGGGAAAGGTGGGACAGGTAGGTACCAACGGAGGGGGGTGACCAGAATTCTTGTGATTTATCCTCTCGATAAATCTAAGGCAACACCACTGACCACAAGAGTTCAATCTCAATAGCATCCTTTAGTGAATTCATTACCAGTTAACAGAAAGAAATATAATCAATCTTGGAAATCTGACTAGACAACTTTAATTGCAAATTTCCATATTAAACAAAGTCAAACTGTCAAAAAATTAAAACAA